CAGGCCGTCTGGTCCAGCCAGCCCTGGGCAGACCCTGTTCTCTCCGTCACTGCCATTTGGGACAGGTTCCAGGAGGGGTGGCTGTCTTGCAACTCACTGCTGTGTCTGCAGCACAATGCTTGATACACACAGACGCTTCAGCACATAGATACACAGACACAGGAGCACACAGACGTAACGCACGCATCCATGCACACACAGACACTCCAACACACACACAAACACATGCACAGGCAGACACATGAACAGAGGGATATAGACAGATACACACAGACACTCCCACACACAGATACACATGACAGACATGCACAGACACACAGGCACTCAGGCACACACGCATAGAAATATAGACACACACAAAGACACACACACAACACAGCAACGGTGAAGGTCAGCTTGCTGGGAAGAGCTGTTGGCTGGGTCGCCTGGGCGGAGCTGGCCCATCCACTGGATGAGCAGACACCACGATTCCACAGTTGTAGGAGGGGACAGGGAAGGTGGTGGTGACCAGTCCTGGGTATGTCCGGGTTGTGATAAACACCAGCAGAATGAATGAATGAGTACAGTGAATGTGTGCTGCACAGACTCATAATTTATCCAAGTCCGTGGATGGATGGATGGATGGATGGATGGATGGATGGATGGATGGTGATCAGAGCTGTCCGAGCCCCCAAAGAAGTGATTAGAAATAAGTAAATAAAACATATCAAGAAAAAAATAAAGCCGGTTTTAAAAAAGGAAGGGAAACATCTGCCGCCTGGCCTTCCCAGATAACAGTCACACGTGTCAAAGGCCTGTTGGCAGAAGTCCCCCAACACTCAGGGCAGCCCACACCTGGGGATGACACATCACCCAGCCCCCAGCCCCCCGTCTTCCTGGATATGAGCTGTCCCGTGAAGGCCCCAGCCTCCGTGAGGAAGACAGTTCTGGAAATTTGGCACTGGGCTCATCCCCACGGGCCTGTCTGCTGAGTCACCTGGTACATCAGTACCACTGCCTGCACCCTCTCATCTCAAGGGTCTGCAAGTCTTTTGAAAGGCTCCTCACCTGGCAGCTCACAAAAGAAAATCAGAGGGTGAGCCCGAGACGCCTCCGGGGGACTGGGAGGGCCCCGGGTTCCTGCCCTGGCCTGCCACCACCAGGATGTCCCATGGTGGACTTGCGGGTCCTCCAGGCCAGGGGTGAGGGGCTTGGGGCCTGGGGGTGGGGTCAGGGGGCTTCGCATTTCTCCACGCCTGTCTGTGCTGGTGAGGTTTTACTAGAGGTGTCTGCACTTTCGCAAGCAGTTAAAACACAGCCCACACCTCCATCTGCAAACGGACCAGTGTTTTGACGTCATGATGAAATAAGGATAAGAGGTCTTGTGGAGAATTTGGGAACTACAGAACCCACCCAGACCTGCCCCAGGGCGTATCTGCCCGGGAGCCCCTCTCCAGGGATCCCTTTTGTTTTCCCAGGAGGCCCTGGGCGAGCCCTCCACACGTGTCATTACTCCGCAGATGGGATCCGGGCTCCTGGGGCTGTGGCTCTCCAGCCTGCCAGGGAACGGGAGGGGAGGGGAGGGGAGGGCAGAGGAGAAGAGAAGAGAGAAAGGGCAGAGGCTGAGGAGGGGCCCAGTGCCCTCCAGGACCCCTCCCGGCAGAGGCCGAGGGCGGGGCAGGGTATGGTTTCTGGGCCAGGTTTCAAGAATGTGACTGGGCGGGGTGGGGGACAGTACCCTGTCCCTCCACGACCTTCTTAAGTGGGCACCTGGTCACAATGGTCTTCCCTTTGGGTGGAGGGGGCTCGAGGTCTACGACGTCTTAGCACTTCCAGGGCCTCTTTACCTCCTTGTTCATTCACTTCTTCATTCTACCTTTACCTACTCCTTCATTCCACTGCAGTTCAGATGCCAGGGGAGACGCGGACAGGGATGGGGCCTGGGCGGAAACACCCTTCAAGGCGCCCGACCCCTGATGTCTCCAGACCGAACACCTGCCTGTCAGTGCGCACCTCGACCCTAATGGGTGAGGGCTGCAAGCAGGGGCCTGTCCCACTCTAGCCCTGAACCCCCTGGAGGCGGAGATCAGAACTTTGTAGGCTGAGTGGGGCCCGCGAGAGGACCACTGAGGCCAGACCCTGCCTCCAAGAGATAGGGTAGAGAGAGGGACAGGTCAGTGACACTAAGGGGGTCTTAACACCCACCCTATTGGCTCAGGCGACTGCCTCAAATTGGGCTGGGGGCTGGATCTGGCTGAGGGCAACAGAGGATGGGGTGCTGAGCTGGGGTGTAGGGTTGAGAGGGGTTGTTTCAGTCCTGAAGACTTCGACGATGGGAAGGGGTATCCCATTAAGACCTCCAGCTTGGAGTCAGCCTGACCCTCCTGTGTCCCCCACAGGGCAGAGTGGCTTCAACATCCCCCAGTGTCCTTCAGCCTCCTGCTATGGTGTCTAGCTAGGGGTCCCGGCCTCTAAACCCTACTCTCTGGCCCCCAGGTCAGGCAACCCTCCTCTGGTGGCTGGGCTAGTGGAGGTCCAGGAGCCAGCTTCTAGGACAGACTCCACCTGGATGTCCCAGCCCTTTGATAGCTTCCTATTGATAAAGGGATGGGTGGGGATGTTGGATCTGGGTTGAGCCTTGGGGGCAGGGTATGTCCAAGGACTGGCCTCCCAAGAACAGAGAGGGCAGCCCTGCCTACCTACAGCCTGCTTGCCTTGGGGGTTGGGGGCGCCTCCTGCCAGGCCTCCTCCAGGCCCTCTCCTCCCCTCCTTCCCTTCCAGGGCCAGCATGGCGTCAGTGCCCCTGAGGCAGGAAGCCAGCAGCCCGTTAGGAAACTGTGGGGTCAGAGGGCACACCACCTGTGCCCAAAGAGTGGTGGCCTTCTTCTCCACCACCCCATTCGAGAGTGCTCATGACACGCTGGGCCTGAGTGGCCAAGGGGACAGGGCTAGAGTTCTGGAGGGGTCTGGCACAGGGGAGCTGGCCTGCCTGGATACCCCCCTCACCCTGGACTCAGATGATTCCTGAGCATTGCAATACTCTCGGTATGCTGGTCTCGTGACCACCTCTGCCCCCTTTCATTCCCAACCTACAGGGGGCTCATTGTGATCAACTGGGAATACCGAGGAAGGGGCACATACACTAACACTGCAGCAGGGGGCATTAGGAAGAGACTAAAAGCATGTGTGGTACCAGCCTTGCCAGGGACTGCCCCGGGGTGTATCTAGGGCAGCAGTTCTCAACCTGTGGGTCGTCGAGAGCCCTTTGGGAGTTGCCCAATTCATAACTGTAGCAACATTACAGGGATGCAGTAGCAACGAAAATAATGTTATGGTGGGGGGTCACCATCACATGAGGAACTGTATGACATGGTCGCGGCATTAGGAAGGTGGAGAACCACGGCTCTAGAGTACGGCAGGTATGGCGATACGTCCTGGTCAAAGGAAAAGTCAAAGGCTTCCCTATTTGAGAGCCTCCGTGGGTCAAGGCAGTGAGGAGTCCTGCTTCGTAGTGGGTGTATGTTGGGCTGCTAGCCACAAGGTCAGCAGTTGGAATCCTCCAAACTCTGAGGGAGAAGAATGAGGTTTTCTGCTGCTGCAGGGACAGTTAGTTTTATTCCGTCCGACGGGGTCTCTATGTATCAACATGGACTCCAAGGCAGTGCGTTTGTGTGTAAGAGCCCTCATGCATTCAGTAAAAAGATGACCTGGCCCGACTTATATTTTTCAGGTGATAAGACGAGGCTTTCTCCCCCAGTAACATCTCGGGAACCCACAGGGGCAGTTCTAATGCTCTGCCCCAGAGGGTTGCTCCGAGTCAGAATTGATTCGATGGCAGTGAGTTTTCTGGTTGTTGTTTTTCTATTTCAAAAGCTATCCAAAAAATGGGTGTGGAAAAAAAAGATGGGTGTGAGTTGTTTGGACAGGGCACAATTTCAGTGCCCGCTACAGGTGCGATTTCCCATAGGTATCCCTGTAGGTGCAAAGGCCTTGAGGCAGGGGCAGCAGGAGCCTCCGACGCTGGAATGGAGGCAGCCAGGATGAGGTCGGGACCTTGAAGGTCCACATCGTATAGTGTAGGGCATGGGGTGGGGTGGGGGGGACCACATAAGGAAATAGCTTTTCCTTACAGCGCGGTGGGGCCTTGAAGAATTGAACGCAGCCTTGGCTTATGTTTTGAAAGGCTCACAATGCTGCCAATTGACAGGGATAGGAAGGCTGAGGCTCCAGGCAAAAGTCCTGACCAAGGTGTGCCTTGGAACAAACCCATAATCTCACTGCGTGCCATCCAGTGCATCCCAACTCAGTGACCCTGTAGGACAGAGGAGAACTGGCCCTGTGGGCTCCGGGACGGGAGCAGAGCACCTCGTCTTTCTCCTGGGGAGCAGATGGTGGGTTTGAATGGCTGAATTGCCTACCTTGTTCTTAGCCGCCCAATGCTTAGTAATCCACTTAGCTTGGACCGCAGTAAGGGAAGTGGGGGAAGCGTCTGGATTCCGGGAATATTTTGAAGGTGGACCCGACGGGATACGGGGATGGGGTGGATGAGGGGCTTACTGAGCAAGAGTAGCTGGCGTTCGGCATATTCTGGAGTTCAGGGGAGCCCGGAGAGCTTGCAAAGGGACTTGTGGGTCGCTTTGAGTCAGAATAGAGAAGGGCGTACAACAAGCCTAGATGAGAAGCTTAAGGGCCCGGGAAGGGAAAGGCGACTGGGGGCGATTTTCCCAGGCTGAAAGACCAGGAGGAGCGAGGGGAAGCAGGAGAGGTGGGGGTTTCCAGGAAGAGGGATCCGCTGGGAGGAAAAGCTTCCGAACGGAGCACCGTATTTAAAATTTGTGACTGGCCCCTCGCTCCACGCTACCCGCCGGCGGTATCCCGGGGCATCCCCGGACTAGTTAACGCCGACTGCTAAAGTTTCAATTCCGTAGGTCCGGATGGAAAGAGAGCATTTGCATTCCTAAGTTCCTGTAGGCACCGAGACGGCGGTCAGAACCACCTTAGGACAGCTGCCGGGCGAACCTATGTCCCCGAGAGGACTCCAGGGCCCGCCCGGACCCCGCCACCCGCCGCGCGTTGCTGGGCAGAGCCTGGCCGCGCGCGCTCCCATTGGCCGCAGGTGGGTCCGCGCCCCGCCCGACAGG